CTAGGTTAAAGAATGTAAAGTATATAAGGGAGAAGCAAGATATGTATACTACACTAAAAGACATCCCTCTTAGGCGAAGGAATACCTAGTAAGAATATAGGCAGCTAGGAAAGCAAAGGAAGCTAGAATTAACATACTAAAAAGATATATAATAAGCTAGGGTAGCTAGGTATAGAAGCAACCTAGCTAAGTACTATAAAAGAGGTCTAGGCCTAATAATAGGTTTATATTTAGGGCCTTACTAGCATAAGAGAGTTACTAGTAACTAGGGAGACTAAGATACCTTAATATTATAGGAAAGGAAGTAGGGCAGACAAAGCTTAGTCAAATGTTAGTCTAAAGTAAGGGAAGACTAAAGGAAAACTTATAGGGAAATAATATAGATGAAACCTAATAAACATTGCAATATTACTAAACATTATATAGTACAATATTAATAAGAGCAAAGACAAGGTATAGAGGAGCTTCCTTTAAGCACTAAACCTAAAAGAACATTATATTATTGTAATCTAAGAGCCCTAGCTCAACCTATATACAAAGAGACTAGCAATAGTTAAAGACCTAAGATACTACCTAATTATCTACAACTAGGGAGCCCTAAGGATATACATCTATATTAGCAAGGAGATAGATATAGAAACCTAGTAGGCTATACTATAGGAGGATAGGGACCTAATATTAGTTTAAGTAGAGATATCCTAAGGTACACTCTAAGTCCACTGTATATACAACCTACTACTAGACTTAAGAAGCAGTACCTAACTAAAAACCCTAGGAAGACTACCTAGAGTTCTCTAGGGGAACACCTACTAAATCCTACTTAGGGATTTCAACCTCTACTACCCCCTCTAGGGCTTAGACTTTACCCTAGCTTACTACTTCCTAGTAGGAAGACTAATTAATATATTAGAGAGGGAAGGAATAGAAATTGTTACCCTAAAGGGACTAATTACTTAAGAGGCAAGAGGAAGCAGTAGTATACTAGACCTATACTTTGTATTATATTAGATTAGGAACAGGATTATAAGATATAGGGTTAACTAGGAACTAGAAGAATTATTAGACTACTTCCCGGTGCAGATTGAGCTAAATGTCTAAGCTAATTAGGAAAGGGAACTAGAGGAGAAGCTTAACTAGAAAGGTGCCTAATAGGGTAGGATTAGGGAGGAACTAGAAAGGGACCTAAAACTAGTAGAACTCTTAATAAAGCACCTATTAAGGCTAGAGGACATTAATAAGGCAGTAGAAGAACTAATAGGAATCCTAAAACAGGTAGCTAGAAAGCATACCCTAGCAAAGAAATATTTACTATACTAGCAACTATACTAGACTAGTAAGTGTATAAGGAAGGTTAAAGTAGCAAGGAAGGCTAGGAGATAGTAGATACAAACCTATACCTAGGAAGTATAGGACAACTATAACAAAGCCTACTAGGAAAAGAAGATCTAGATTAAGAAAGACAAGATATAAGAATAGAGATCTATAATAGGAATAATTACAAAGAAACTAGAGGAAATATAGAGGATAGCTAAATAGATAAGGAGACCTAAATAGGACAAGGATATACTACTACAATTCCCGGATATTATAGACTAATAAGGACAAATGTAGACTATAATAGAAGGGAAAGCAAGAGCCCTAGGCTACTACTTCTTCTATAGAGAAGTACAAGTAGACCTATTAGATATAAAGGAGAAAGAATAAGAGACTCTACTACTAGGTATACTAAGAGATACCTAGGTTAAACCCGAAACCATTAAAAGGATCCTAAAGAAAATTCTAGGCAATAAGGCACTAGGAGAAGACAAGATCTATAACAAACTCCTAAAAGCATATAGGAAGGGGCTAGCCCTAGCACTAGCTAATATCTTTTTATAAAGCCTAGTACTAGGACACTACCTAAGACTATTTAGGAAGTCCCTAATAGTAGTGCTAAGGAAGCCCTAGAAGGAAGACTATATACAGCTTAAGGCCTATAGACTAATAGCCCTACTTAATACAATAGGCAAGGTGCTAGAAAAAATTGTCGCTAAAAGGCTAATAACCTTTACCGAGGAAAAGAATATCCTTCCTAAAGGCTAGATAGGAGGAAGAAAGAAGAGGTTAACACTAATAGCTATAGAACTAATTATAGAACAGATTAAGCATATCTAGTACTATAGTTAAAACTAGGTAGCAACCCTCCTCTCCCTTAATATCTTAGGAGCCTTTAACAATATCTCCTATAAAAGGCTCCTATATATACTTAAATAGAAAGCTATACTAAACTAGATAGTCCAATTCATCTAGTCCTTCTTATAGGAAAGATTAATACAGCTTATTCTAGGCAAATTCAAATCAGACCTAATGCTAACTAAAAAGGGAATCCCCTAAGGATTAATACTCTCCCTAATCTTCTTCCTTATCTTTATAGCAGACCTACTCCTACTCCTAGAATCAAAAAACACATTAGCATTAGGGTTTGTAGATAACACAAACATCCTAGCCTAGTCTAAGACAATAGAAACTAACTGCAAGATCCTAGAAGAGAAGCACTAAGAGTATAAAAAATAGGCAAGGAGGTATAGAGCAAAATTCGCCCTAGAAAAGTACTAGCTTATCTACTTTAGCAAGGCTAAATCAACCTATAATATAAAGCAATCAATTACTATCTAAGGCTTTGAAACCTAACTATTAGCAGAGCTTAGGGTACTAGGGATCTAGCTAGATCCAAAACTAAATTAGGGACTATAAGTAAAGAAGGCAAAGTAGAGGGCAGATACTAACATATAATCTATTAATAGGCTTATAGCCTCTATATAGGGGGCTACATTCGAGAAAGCTAAAGTTATATATAAAGCAATTATCAAGCTAGCAATACTATATAGAGTATAGATATAGACAGCCTAGGAGAAAATACTAAAGAGGATTAAGTAACTAGTTAGTAGGTCCTAAACCTAAAGCCTAAAGAAAATCCTAGGAGTATACAAAACTACACTAACAAGGGCAGTAGAAATAGAATTAGGGATCCTACTAGTTAAACAATACTTTAAGGGACTAAGACACTAATATATAGTAAAGACAATAGAATACCTAGCCTAACAGACTATTTAAAAGGCACTAGACAAGATAAAAGCCTAGTATATTAGGACTAGGAGGCGAGACAGACTACAAATAACTCCCTAGAAAGTCAAAGACCTAGAGCAATATAGAGTCTTAATAAGAGAAATGCTAGAGAAAGAGCTCTAGAGACTAAATACAAGGCTAAAGGAAGACAAGCTAAAGGGAGAGAAACAAAGCCTAGTAGAATCAATTGCTAGATATCTATAGGAGTAGGAATAGAACAAAACATAAGTCAGACTAGGAACCCTAAAGGCACTAATCAAATTTAGTCAATATAACTACTAGCTCTATAAGGACCTAAACAGGGCCGAAGCAAGCCTAGCTGTCTAAATTAGATCTAAACACATTAGACTTAGATCTTACCTATTTAGAAGAAACGTCCTAGGAATTAAAAGCAGAGCTTACTAATATAGCTGCTAATCTTAGAACCCTAAGCATATACTACTAGTCTGCCCTTAATAGTTAGAAGGCAGAAGTAATTAGAGACTAAAAGCAATAGAAAGGGAATACGATAAGCTAATCTAGAGCAAAGAAGACCTAAAGAGGATAGTAAAGTAGATTATTAAATAGGGATTTGTATAACAATTTGCACTAGTAAGGGAAACTAAGGAGTGGATAAGAAGGAGGGAAGAAGAGGGGGAAAGAAGGGCAGGGTAGTAGGTAAGGCAGTTAGAGGGTAACAACTATAACACTAGTATATCCTAGAGGAAGGAAAATAAGGAAACGAGGAAGATTAATACTTACAAATAGGACAGGAGGGAGGTTTTCACTAACCAAGTTAGTTTCCTACCTAAAACAATATATAGAAACAGACCTGCACAGGCCGAAAGGCACTACAACAGGCAAATAAAATATCTATCTATCTATCTATCTATACAGTCTTTACAACCGCTCGATTTAGACGACGTTAAAGAGGCAGATTTAATAAGAGATAATACACTACTAGCACGAGGTCTACCTACGCCGCTAGGCACTTACTATTTAACTAACTAACAGAATTAGAGTAAGCTATTATAGGTCTTTATATACGGTATTCGCGAGATTAACGGTATTGCTATAGACGACTATTACTTTACTAATTCCGGCCTCTCGTCCTTCGAGGAGCTTCTTGTCTTCTATAACGTAGACTAGTATACTATAGATACGATAATAAGCTATATACGAGACGAGGATTACGAACGAGCGGCTAGGCGACTAACTAGTTAGATAATAGACGACTCGGAAGACGACGCCGCTAATAACCTACCTAGTAACGAGCGAGTTAGACGAGAGATAAGAGATATAAGAATATATAGTAACCGCTAGTTAACCGCTAGTAAGCCTAGTAAGTTAATAGCTCGTAGACAACGTACTAAGCCTAAGTAATAACGAGGTCGAAGAGATAGTAATTAGCGTAGCTAAGCTTTCTAATATAGTCGTAGAAGGCGGTAATTATATAGTATGTCTATAGCAACAACTCTTAGTATCTATAATAGTCTCTTCTACTACAAAATTGCTGCTTCTATAATAGTTAAATAGCCGCTTTACCGATAGGCTCGAGAGAGGCGCTCTTCTTAACCTAATTCGTTACTACGCCGAGCAGTTCTAAACGCCACTAAACTAGAGGATTGCGGGTGGCTTATTGCCTAGTAATTACTAGTAAAACGCTGTGCCTATAACTCCATTTAGGTTTAACTAAAACTCCTGACATACACGACAAATCCGGATGTGTGGTATAGGCCAGATAACAAAGCGTCTGAGAGATGAGTTATCAGCAGTAGTGACTAGGATCAACCTTATTACGAAGGGACTGAGAGTTGCTAGAGGTGCGATGAAGGTATGTCGTGTGTCGTGAGATTCGACAGCATTCATTGTTTTTCCGCACTGGGGGTATCATCAGTATTGTTCTGGCGCCTTCGCTATGCTTCATCTACAATATACACACTGCTATGCCGCAGCAGCGACGTGATTCCCATTCGTCATAGTCGGAGCCAGGGCAGTCCTTCTCGCCCTGAGCCTCTCTTTCCTCTTCTCGGCGACAGACTTCGCCTCTGCCTTGAAGTTCACAGTGCTCATAACATTCTCCACGCCATCGAGATTGAGCGGCCGCACCACCTTCATAGCGCCAGTACCCACACTCATGCTCTGACCCATGATGATACATTCAGACACACCCTCGATGTCGTCCTTCTTCATCCTGGCCGCAGCATCGAACAAATGATCTGGTGTCTTTTCGAAAGATGCGAGCTGAAGCACCGAGTCACGCATCTTGGCCAGACCGAACCGAGTGATACCAAGAACCTCACCTTTATAGGTCATGACATCGGCTAAAAGTTGCATGTGTCGGGGATCGATGTCCATACCTCCCATGACAGAGCTGATTTCGTCGATAATTGTTTTGCGTGCTGCTTCGATACCAAGCACGTCACGCATCTCCATCACGTTGTTACTCTTGGTGTGGTATCCATCGACACCTTCAGTAGTCATGCAGAGTTGCAGTCCGTATCCTTCCACAAGGACCGAGATTGGTTCCTGGCCAGTCGAGTCCTTCTTGTCGTCCTTCTTGATGATCGCACGCTGCGCATCAGGATAGCCCTTGACCACGACCGCTGGTAGCTTCCGCTTGAGGGAGTGCAAGTGCATGAACATGAGCTCCGAGCTGTCGGGTTCTGGACCGCGAGGCTTACCTGAAATCGCTCGACGTGGCTTTGGTCGGTCATCGGGCGGACTCATGTTGACGCGAATGTGGTGATGACCTGAGGGTCGTGCAGAGACACCTAGCGTCTTGAATCCTTTCGTGCGCTCAATACAATTGAGGATTTCGTACATGCTGATGCGAAGACCAAGGTTCTCGACTTGAGCCCAGTTGATTCGCATGTTGATGTAGCATCCGTTCGCATGCCAGACGTCCTCCACATAATCAACAATGTCTCCCAAATACGTCTTCTCGATCAGCGCTTTTGCGAATCTGCCCGCCATTTCTTCGTACTTCGAGTCGAGAGCACACGTAATGACAGGCGTACTGATCACTTTGCTTGCGTTGATGATTTCCTTGATACGAGGCACTCCCTGCGTAATAGACATACCAGCGACACCAGCAAAATGGAAGGTCTTGAGCGTCATTTGTGTTCCAGGCTCACCAATGGACTGTGCTCCAACGGCACCAACAGCGTGTCCAGCTTCGGTTTTTGACTTTTCAAACTTGTGCAAGCAAAGGTGTAGAAAGCAATCCAAAGCAGCCTGCGATAGCTTGAACACGCCGTCGCTGTTTTTTAGTCGATTTTGCGTGCTGACCATCTTAGATACTTTGTCCATGATAAAGTTGGTCACGACATCCAAGAATTGTCTGCTGTATTCCGATTGATCGGTGGACATTGGCTTATCATCGTCATACGGGAGTGGTTTTCGATCCTCCGTGAAACGACCCAGCTTGGCGCGCTCCTTGTTGAGAGTGGTGTTGACGTAGGTTTCGATTTCGCTCTGGGTCAGAGCGCGTTCGGCGTTGTCCCAGGTACTGGTGATGGAATGCATCCAGGTCCTCTCAAAGTTCACAGGCTTTGCGCTACCTTCCATGTCGACGGGATCAAGACCGTCGTCTCCAAACTTCATTTGCACCACGCCTGACGACGAGTTGCGGACCGTCAAGTCGTACTGAGCGCTCAAGTCTTCCAAACTCTTCATCAGTCGACGAGACATGTATCCAGTTTCTGCAGTCTTCACGGCAGTATCGACCAAACCTTCTCTCCCAGACATGGCGTGGAAGATGAACTCGGTGGGCGTCAAGCCACTGAAGAAACTGTCGAAAACGAAGCCTTTAGCCAATGGATCTCGGCTGGCCTTTGGAAAATGAGGCAGTGTTCGGTCCTGGAATCCTTCAAGGACACGTTTGCCACCAATAATTTGTTGTCCGACTGCAGCGACCATTTGCGACACGTTGATGTTGGAACCCTTCGAACCACACTTGGCCATGGTCATGGGCGCGTTGAATTTGCTGAGCTCTGCGAAACAAGCGTCACCACACTGCTGTCGAACTTTGCTGAGAATACCTGAGAGCAAGATCTCCATGGTCTGTTCTTCGTCACAACCGGCACTGCGCTCCAGCTTGCCCTTTTTATACTTGTCGATGATCTCGTCACACTGTTTGTAAGCGGCATCGACAAGTGCTTGCTTCCGCTTCGTGAGCGTGTCACTGGGGTAGACGTCGCTGATGCCGATCGAAAAGCCTTGTTCGCCGAGCCATCGAGCGGAGAGCTTTGCGAGACGTGTCATGGCGGCTGCGGCATATTCAGGACCAAAGTCACGTAGAATCACATAGAAGACACTGTCTTTCTTGCCATCTCCGATTGTCGCTTTGTCAAAGGCACCGCACATGACCTCGCTGTTGCGGATGACGAGATACGAATCTGTATCGACCATGTCTGGGATATCGCCTTTTCGGGTGGGAGGTGCGTATTGCTTCAGCTTGGCTTCGAGATTGACATTCACAGGGTATTTGGGGTGCGGCTTGATCAATAGATTCCACACCTGCTTTCCTGTCCACAAGCACTGCGGCTTCCAGATTGCAGGGGGTGGGATCTGAATCGGATACTCTTCGCCAGTGTAGGGATCTTTGACTTGCATGGCATTATACATGAAGCCAACGACTTGAGTGAATTGTCTGCGACTGAAGAACAGGTCTTTCTGGCTCACCAGGTATGCGCCTGTGATGAAATCCTGTATGGCAGCAATGATAGGTGTGCCGTTCTTTGGTGTCGCCAAATTGTGCTTCACACCCATCAATTCAGTCGCTTCCGTTCGGGCTTCTTCCGTTTGAGGAACATGCAAATTCATCTCGTCACCATCGAAGTCGGCGTTGTAGGGATTGCAAACGCATTCGTTCAGTCGAAATGTCCTCCATGGCCGGATTTTAGCTCTGTGGGAGAGGATGGAAAGCTTGTGGAGGGATGGCTGACGGTTGAAGAGAACAATGTCACCGTCTTCCAGATGTCGCTCCACCGTATCGCCAATCTCGAGCTGATCTGCGACCTTTTTGAGATCGCCTCGCTGGCCGACCATGCGTAGCACAAGACGTCGTTTGTCCCTACCTTTGATGATGTAGTTGGCTCCCGGATGGACTTTGTCGCCACGTCCTACGCAAGCCTTTAGCTTCTCGATATTGTGTTTGGTGACTCTCTCGGGATATGTCATATTGACTGCCACTCGAGACGGAACGGCAACCTCGTCAATGGAGAGATTTGGATCTGGAGAGATGACAGTACGTCCAGAGAAGTCGACACGTTTTCCAGACAAGTTGCCTCGGAATCGACCTTGCTTGCCTTTCAACCTCTGGCAGAAACCTCGCATGGCCTTGCCGTAAGCACTGTCTCTTCCGAGGCCCGGCAGATTGCCATCGATGTACATGGCAATCTGTACCTGGAGAAACTCCCACATGTCCATCACCTTCGACAGATGCTGGCCGGCGTGAAGTGTGGCAGCGATGAGACCATTGATCTGGATTATGTCACCAAGCTTGTTCGTGATATCGTCCTCGGTGCTGGCTGTCTCTTGCGCCACAGATGGTCTGATGGCTACTGGAGGAGCGGGAATGTGCGTCCAGATCATATGCTCGGGTCGACCGCCACTGTGGGGATCCATACCGAGCAGTTCGACATCCGCATTTGGCACCTTTTTGAGAATGTTCAAGACGCGCAGTGGCGTCAGATCGTCGGTGGCGCGCTTCATGTGTCGTTCAACATCCTTGTCGGCTTTGATGGCCTCTTCAAATGTCCTCTCAAACGCCTGCATTTCCTGAGGCTTGACTTTGCTCTTGGCGTTGGAATTTGTATATACGGCCCATCGATTGTGAAACATCTTGATCGGATGGCCAGCCACTTTCCTCACAGGTCCGTTCAGAGAACTGCAGTGAGGGCAATATTTGACCTTTCTGCATTCCGCCGAGATCTTCTTCGTAATGACATCTTTCCGCAATCCGTCCAGACCGGGCCTTCGCAGGGCCTTTAGATAATTCCGCTTCTCTTTCTCGGGCAGCAGAACTTTACTGCACGTTTTGCAGACGCAGTTCATGGCCTCGATGATTCTCTTGAGATATCCATAGTGGAAGCACGGAAGTGCCAGCTTCACATGTCCGAAATGGCCATTGCACTCTTTCAATCCTTGACCGCAAGTCGCACATGTTCCATTCTTCGATGAAGTGCCCAGTCGCGGGTCTAACGGGCCTTGCTTGGTGATGTTTCGCGGTGCGCCAGGCTGCAGCTGCAAGTCGTAGAGGTTGCGATCGACAATCTGCGACACCGAGTTGGCCACGATGTCTTGCGGACTGAGCAGGCCGAATTGGAGGGATTTGATGCGGCGGGGTACATTGTCGATGACCTGCTCTTTGGAGGTGAAGTGTTCGGCCTGAGCCTCCATGACGGCGGCGATTTCGACAGGCCTGGAAGCAATGCTACCGGATATCGATCATGGTGTGGTTGGTGTTTGTAGTGACGCTCATGCGAGAGTCGAATCTTCACTTTCACCAGCAATTCGAATCGCACCGGCTTGTCGGAGTCACAAATTACTGAGGGTTGGCTTTTACCTGTCACTCTCGGTCCGCAGAGCCGCGATCTTCGAGAATACGCTTCAGGGGTGCTAAGAGCAGCTCTCTTAGCAAACTTAGTATATAGATGCTCTTAAGACTATATAGAATAGCGCTAATAGTTCCAATTTATCTAAACCTACGCCGAGGTATTAATTAGGGTTAAGAATAAGGGTATTCCGCAAGCTACTAAGTATTAATAGAAGGTCGTACGACTCGCTTAACTGCCGGCAAGGCTCCTAAGCGACTAGACACGAGTCTAACTAAGGTAACCGCTACGGTTAAGAAGAAGCCTATTTTAAAGACACTCGAGAAGCTAATTACGCCGCCGCCGATAGCTAATCCGGCTAGAAAGAAGCCTACGGCTAAATCCGTACCGCTAATCGATAGAGTAAATAATAGCTCTACTGCGGGCACTACGGCTTCCGGTACTAAGGAATAAGTAGTACTTAACTCGCTTAAAGAGGTAGCTAGTAACGTTAGCGGTAAGATAGGCGGTAAGATAGGCGGCTCTATAACGACGTCCTTCGAGTCTTAGTCTTCTTCTACGACTAGAAGATTAAAGGCTCTCGGTCGTAGCAATATAGCTCTTACGTCTAAGAGCTATATTCGAGAGCGGCTTACTAATAAGAAGGGCCTCGTTTTAATAGACTATAGAGGTTGCTAGTACCTTATAGATACTACGAAGAAGACTAAAGAAGATAGGTAGGTTGCCTTAAAGCGTAATATCTTCGACGTTGCGGATCTAGCCAAGGGTTAGAATAGATACAAATAGGTAGGCAAAGTAACCGAGAAGTATAGCTTAGAGCGCTATTTAAAGGTAACTTTGTCGGCTTATTATAAAGGGGTTAAAGAGAAGGATTATTATTAAGAGACCTAGCTGCAACTATTTAATAATAATAATAATAAGGCTGCGGAAGAAGATAAGGCTTATAGCCGTGCCCTTAACCGTCTCGGTTACTAGATCGACAAGGAGTTACTAACTAACCCTTAACTTAATATATTCTTCTATACTAAACTAAGGCCTATTAGCGTAGGTCTAGTTAGCTTAGCGTAGAGGCAAGGCACGGCTACTAGTAAGAGACCTCTTAGTAAGACGCTAGGTTAGTAGCAAGCCGCTCTCGCTAACGTTTAAGTAATAGAACTAAACGAGAAGGGTAACTTCGAGGTTAATATTTAAGCTTACTTTGCGTATAATCTTAGCACTTGTCGTAACGTTAAGATTAAAGGACCTAAGACCTACTACTAGCGTAATCCGGACAAGCAAGACGTACCTAATAAGCACTAGCTTATAACCTCCGAAGTAATTAAATTACTAGCAAGCTACAAGATTGATCGCTTAAGGCTAGTAGAAATTTAGCGATCCGATATATATAGAGGTCCTTATTATAATAATGAGGCTATACTTCGAGAGAGATATAGCTAAGAAGGTCGCTAATTAGTTAAAGAAGAAGGGCGTTACTAGCGGTTATAGCGAGGCTTTAGAAGCCCGCCCGAAGGTCTAGGCTCCTATTAATATTATCTTCGGAGACAAAGTAGCGGCTAGTTTCTAAGTAGCTATAGGACCTAGATTTACTCCTACGACTCCTTCGAAGATACTAGCTCGTGCCCTACTAAGACTAGGTCTTGTAAAGGATATATCGTTACCGATAGTACTACCGGAGGGTTTAAAGGAGGGTAAGGAGCTAAGGGTCGGATTCTTTTAGTAGGCACTCGAGACACCGCTATTTTACGACTCGGCGGAAATGCGAGCTATATAGAAGACCTATATCGACGAGGACTTCGACCTAGTTACTATCGCTAATATAAGTAAGAAACAAATTCAAACAATAGTAGGAAGAGTTTAAAATAAAGGCGAGTATACGGTATAGAATAAAGGAAGCAATCGAGAAGTTCCTAATACTAAAAGCCGATAAGATTATAGCGGCGGAGCTAGCCGGAGCTAAGGATGCTATATAAAGTACGAATTTAGGCTCTACTTCTCGTAGTACTATATAACGTTTATACTATTATTTTTTATAATTATTACAGGCGCGGACTAATTAGACTAAACACATTCTATATATTAAATATCTAGTATTATATTGCGTTATATATTGAGATTTTATCTTTATATAAAAGCCTAGAATTCGAACATTTATAACACTTCTCGGGCTCGAGCGCGCTAGTCGCACTAGCGCATTCTACCGCTACGTTACGTTATTACTCCTATTCTTCTTTAGATTCTTCGTCGCTATCTATATCCTTAATCTACTTACTAATCGACGCTAGCGGCGTATAAAGACACTAGTTATACTAGGCAGACTCTTCCGGATCGAGACCTATTAGATCTTATACGTAGCCGGCGGCACTAACGAAGCCCTTTTTAGAAAACGCGAAATCTAGGTAGTAAACGTTATATCCGGCATATTTAAAGAGTTTCTATACCCTCGGCCCTTAATATCGCTATAGGTAATAATATAAGAAGTCGCTAAAGTTTAAGAAGCATTCTACGTCTCGAATGTGCCTCTTAATATAGCACTTTAAGCAGTTAAAGGTCTGTTCGATAGGATTTAAATCCGGTAAGTATAGAGGTAGGTATTCGAGTTAGTAACTAGCTAACAATATCGCCTCCCTTACCTCCGAGCTATAGTAGATACTAGCATTATCTATTATAAAGATTATCGGCGGATAGCCTTCGAGGCAAGGTATTACCTATTTAGTTAACTAAGCGACGAAGATCTCTCGAGTTATTAAGCCTTATCGACTAATCGTATAAGGCAGATAGCTATTAATAGTAAAAGCGGGTAGTATAGACTACCTTACTTCTCGCTACGCGTACCGGAAGTCTTTGCAATTAATGCCCTTTAGAGACTATCTGTACTTCCGCTAACTAGTCTTCTAATTATAAGTAGTCTCGTCGATAAATATTAGCCTATCTATCGGCTATTTAGCGTACCTAAATATCTATAGAGCCCTTAGTAATAGGTTGCGCTCCTTCGCCTTCCTTTATACCGATTTATGCCTCTAACTACGCTGCTTTAAGATACTCGATAAATGCGTATATTTTAGTATCTTTTAAAGCTCCGGCTACTCGTCGATAAGCGCCTATATTACTTTTATAAAGTACGAGTCCGGTCGGTTAGATAATAACGCCTTAATAAATATCTCTTACTTATTATTAAGAATAGTCTTACGGCCTCGCTTTATAATATAAGGAGGGTAGATCTCGCTAAATAACTACTAGTTATCGAGGGCTCTATATACCGTACGCTTATAGATAGGTAGTCGACTTGTCTCTATAGTTTAATAGATATCTTTGCCTTACGCAAAGCAGTCCTTTAGCAACTCTTAGTGTTCTACGCTAAGCTCTTTACCTAGTCGTATTCTTTACCTTATAATACCTCGGAAACGGCTATACTACTACTTTATAGCGACAACTTTGGCTTTAAAATGCACTATATACGTAGGTACGTAGAAGGGAGGAAGATATACTATTCTACGAGCAAAGTGCCTAACAAAATTAGTAGCGGTGAGCCGCTTAGCACTCGCAGGCTTCCCCGCGGCCGAGTGACAGGTAAAAGCCAACCCTCAGTATGCCAGCTTTGGGCTAAGGACGAATGGGGCTAGAGCGGGGCAGGCGCGGTCCATGCGTGGCTGCCTACGTAGTGCCTATCGATACAGCTCGACATCAAGAGGCCGCACATGCGTCGAGGAGTCGATGTTGGCTTCTGCAGTATCAGGCACAAGGCATCGAAGCAGACTGCGCAGTGCCACAGCCAGAGCACGCCAATCTGTAGAACTAGCTACTGCCCCCAGCTTTTGTGGTCCAAGGCAGACAGCGGGCCGCCTAGCTGGTAGCTCCTCCGACAGGTCACGCTCCGCCCCAGTCAGAAGCCCCGCGTATCAGATATCACCACCACCACGCCTGGCCTGGCCTGGCCTCTGCACTGCTCTCGGTGCACTTCTGTGCTTCACCCTCTTTCTTCGGACGACAGCGGAACCAACACCTCCCGCCCACAGCTGTCCATACCGTCGTCGCTGACCTCTACCCAACTTCTCCCGACGCCAACTTCTCCCGACGCCGACGCTCAGCCTGCGCGCCCTGTCACCACCATGCCCTTCGGCTTCCACCAAGACGTTGAAGCAAACAATATGGCTTCCTCGTCAGCTTCCGCCGCCGTTCCGAAAGGTCGCCTCTCTTCACACTGTATGTTATCTGTGCTCCATCTGTATGCTTCCGCCAGCTGACCTGTGCTTGTGCTAGCCATCACCGTCTCCTTGACCTCCAACTCGAGCGACCGGCGAACGATCGAGCTGCTTCCCGGCACCGCCTGCATCATCGGTCGAGCGTCCAAGTCGGATTTCAAGAATATGCGGCCGACGGCCCACAACGCTCTCTTCGACTGCCCCGTTGTCTCCCGCACCCACGCCGAGTTGAGGGCCAGTCCGTGGCAGCCTCCGGGACGTCAAGTCACCATCACCGACAAAAGCAGCCTCCACGGCACCACTGTGAATGATACCAAGCTGCAGCCTAATGTCCCATTCACGCTGAAGACGGGTGACGTGATCAAGTTGGGTGATACTGTCTCGCGTGGCAAGGGTGAGTGGGAATTCAATCACTTCATTGACTCCTACAAGTACAGCCCTTCTGACTCTTTCTCCTTCCCAGATACGCACGACGGCGTCTCCCTCACCTTTAAGCGCTTCGCCGACATTACCGCCGCACCAACCTCGAGTCGATCGCCAATTACTGCCCGCGGCTTCCACCTTCCTGTCGAATCTGATCAGTCCGATTTTGAGAGTGACGACGACTCTATCGGAAGCAACCCACGCGAACACTCATCGGCAAAGACAACACCCGAGCAGTACAAGATGAAGCCAGGCTCTCAATCACAACCCATCGACCTCGACAGCACATCCGTCGCACCAAAGAGCGTCATCGATCTTGACGCCGATGAGGAGGATGAGCTTGTCTTCACTCGTGCTATTCGGCCAACGATGCCCAGCACCATTCAAGAGTCCGTCGACCGCGATGCTCCAATCATCGTGCCGGAGTCCATCACTGGACAGCCAGCCCGATCTCCCGCCTATGAGACAGAATCGGAAGCAGAAGCCGATACAATGCTGCGAAACACCGGACTCTCTCAGATCTTGAATGCACCGAGAAGCGATTCTGACGACGAACCGTTGTATCCAGATTCCGGATCCGAAGGAGATGACTACGAGTACGACGTCGGCAGCATGGACATGGAAGAGCTTGATGAGGCTGACTACGACATCGATAGTGATGCTCACAACGATTCCGACGTCGACGATGAGAACGGCGAGTCAGAGCTTGACGAGCAGGAGTGCCCATCAGTTCGCGAGCCATCTCCGGAGCTCGGCACTACGGATGAGCCTAGCAGTCCACCATACATGCCGATGAGTCCAGTTCAGAGCTATGCCTTGCCGAGCAAGCCTCGCTACGATCCCGTTCGAAGTTCTCAACCTCCGGCGGAAGAAATTGGCGAGAAGAAAGCAGAAGTGCACGGGCTTGCTGAGAAGCCAACATCAACTTGCACGTACGGGTACCCAGGATCATTCGGCAACAGCTTGATGTATCCGGCTACTGACTTGCCCGGTAATAGTCGATGGGATGTCACCGCAACCAGTGTGTCGTCATTCGGATATCAAATCGATCACACCGAGAAGGACATCGCACCAACCCACTTCGCACCACCGACAATGTTCGGTGCCTCTACTTCTACTCCAACATTCGGACTGGACTCGCAGATGCCAACAGCTTCGTACTGCTCTCCTCCGAACCCGGCGTATAACACATGGCAGACAGCTCCGATTTCGACTACTACTGCTAATGCTGACAGGATTGCTATTGACAATCTCGTCGAGGAGCCGGCTAAGAGTACGACGGCCCAGCCACCACAGAAGACGGTCGTTGGCTTGGCTTCCGTGCGTACTAAGCACGCTAACGAGGACATCATCTATCCAGACCTCATCTATCCAGAGGAGGTCCTTTCTACAGGAACCAAGCGTAAGGCTGACGAGATGGAAGTGGACGAGAGCAACGAGTCTGCAGCGAGGAAATCGGCCAAGGTCGATGCCGCAACTAGCACGCGTGGAGTATCACATCGACGCAAGCAGAAGCAACCAAAGCGCAGCACCATGAAGACTGTGGTTGTTGAGGCTGCGAAGCTGGTCGGTTATGCTGGAATCGGTGCTGCAGGCTTTGCAGCTTTCCTCATGAGCCCTTATGCCCAGCAAGCGATTGATTACCTTGGTTGATTACAGCTTTGCCAGTGAAGGCACGGGACTGTGAGAGGACATGAGTGCATGGCTGCTGGACGTACTTCAAGCAACGACATTTCGACTTTTTGGGGTTATTGGGGGCGTCGCGTGATCGGGCATTATGATTAAACGAGATACCTGGACGGGACGAGAGGCGTTGATAAGGGCTGGCGTTTGCTGCTATCCTCCCCCCAGACAAACGATATAATCGAAGCCCCCGTCTAATGACCAGACAGCTAGCTCTCTCAGTGAATTCATGGAACACATTCTAGACATTTACAGCTTCCTCTCTTCCAATCTCTTATCATCGATCAGCTACTACTGCCTGTGATGCTATCGTTACGAATACAATGTTGCCTTTGCTTAGTGGTCCCTTTGCTGCAATTCGGACCTGGTCTCTCTCTGGAAAATGACGGTTGACTTGCAGCTTTGACCACTCGATTTTGCTTGCTTTGACAATAGGTACACATAATAACGAGCCAGCCAATAGCCGACGATTGGGCATGGAACAATAGACGGATAAGGTAGACGACGGACTTATTACCAGCTACCTCAATCTAGATTTGATCTGTGCTTAACTATATATAACTACTACTCTCTAAGAAATAGCGTTAGATAGGAGTTCGTAGAGGTATATAATAATAATTAGATGGCAGATCCCGATTACGCTTGAGATTGTAATATATATATATATATACCGAGGAGGCTGCGGTATTAGTATATAGTGGCTGCGATGCGATGCGATGTGATGTGGATGATGGAAAACAGTAGAGTAGAAGAAGAAGAAGAAGTTATGTCCTCCTACTAAGTTATTCGTATACACCCCCATACCAAAAATTTTTTTCTTCTAGCACTACACACACACAGACACACCTATATACATTTTCTCTCCGTAGAAATCTCTACTCTCCTCTTACTTAAACTGCTCCTCCGTCACCCCCTTCCCCATCGCACTCGTACTCGCTATCCCCCCTTGCACCATCTGCAACAACCCATCGACATAATTCGCCCCACTCCACTTCTGATGTTTGACCACCTCCACTCCTTCCTCGATTTCCGGCTCTTGCACGATTTCTCCGTAGGCGCGCATGCCTCTCGATGCGAAATTTTTGGAGAAGCGATCGGAGATGAGCGCGGTGGAGTGGAGGCCTGCCAACGTGATGAATTGCCAGCAGTACCCCAGTGCGCCGAGGCGGGTGATGTAGGTTTCTTGGTCGGAAGCCGACATGGCGGTTTTCCAGTTGAAGGAGGGGGAGAGGTTGTAGGCTAGTCTGGTGTCTTGTTAGTGGGGGGGGGGGGGGGGGGGGGGGGGGGGATTTTAAAAAAAAGGGGGGGGGAAAATTAAGGGGTTTTTTTTTTCGGGCCAAAAGGGGGGAACCCCCCCGGGAAATTTTTTGGTTTGGGGGAAGCGGGGGGTTTTTTTTTCCCCCCAAAAAAGGGGGGGGATGGGGGAAAAAGGCCTGGCCCCCTTTCGGGCCCTTTTGGGCCCCCCTTGGAACCGGAAAAACCCCCCCCGGGGCGGGGGAAAACCCCCCCCAAAGGGGCCCCTCCCCCCCTGGAGCCCCTTGGGAAAGGCCCAGCCCCCGAAAAGGCTTTGCCCTTTTGCTGGCGGGGGAAACCCCCCAAAAAAACTTTCCTTTTGAAACAAAAACCCCCCTTTATAGGGTCCCCCACCCCTTTTGGGAAAAAA